TATATATCGCCCTTACTTCGAAAGTGATTCAAATAAAAGAATGTGATTTTTGAGTTATTATCATGAATTATTTAAGTAAAAATTATCTTATCAATCATCAAAAGTAATTTAATGTCATAAAAAAAATCGTTATAACTTAAAAAGGGGATTTCTAAAGGTGATAAAATGAAAATGACAAAATTGACATTTGATATTATATTTTTTTTGCCGATATTATTAGTCAATAATTTTCTGTCAAATTAAAGAATAATTTTTTTCCTTTTTCTGGGAGACTTAATTTTTTGAGTGCCACTTTTAAAGTAAATGATATATACATTTTTGCTTATAAAGTAGATAGCAATACTAGGTTATAATTAATTCACAATTATATAAATCAATTATTGAAGGTACATACTTATCCTGCGCACCGTAATTTTGCGAAATGTAGCGCATAATGTATTAATCGACATTGTAATGATAAAGTTTTTGCCGATAATATAAGTTTTCTCTCGCAATTACACTAAACACATCATGCACTCAACATACATTCTTCATTTTTTGTTCCCGAACTGTACCTAAAGTTGACTCTACTCAGATCACAGATGGCGACATCGTCGCTTTGCACATACTTCATATATAATCGCTAATAAAATAAAATTATAATTCATTTATATTTTGTCTAATTAGAGAAATATCAAATTAACTGTAAAAAATAATTTTAATAAGGAAAGATAAAATATAAAAATTTTATGAAAAAGGGCAACAATTAAAAGAGAAATCAATTTTTAAGATATTAAATATCAAGATATTAAAATAGTATTAGGGGTTTAATTTATTACGAGTTATTTATAAGTTTCTGTTTATATTTCTTAGACTTAATTACAACAATAATTATGAAATTTTTGTCGCACATATTGATATAAAAGATGAATGCATTTAATCCATTCGTGTTTTTACAATTCTTTTCGTGACCTTATCCTTTTCTCTGAAACCAAATATATACATTTGATTCACGTAATGTATATTAATATAAGTATCAATTGCATCTGTTCTAATTCTATCATAATACTTACATAATATAAACAACAGCACCCCATCCAGATATCGCGTCCCGATCGAACGCATTGACTAAAGCTTGGCTGACAGTCTCAAATAGCTCTTCAGGCCCCAAATTAGGCTCGTAAAGCGACTCACACATACCATAAAGTTGCTCCGTACACGTTCCACCTACCACAAAGTCCTCAGCCATATTCCTGGAGCCTATCAGGTCCATGTTGCAGATGAATGGCTCAAACGTGACTGGATCCAGTCCAGCGACTATAGGTTCTACAAAATACGGCCCGAATCTCCTCTCATACAGGAGATTTGAGATCATAGCTGTGAACGTTTTTGGATGAATCTTTCGATTCTCCTTTAGCTCATATAGATTCAAGCGAAAGCGCAATCTCTCCATGACTGTCTGGGTATCAGTGGCAAGACCTGGCAAGCTGACATACAAGTGTGGTCCCATCTCATAGATCTTTTGGAAGTCGCACGTTATCGTCTGCGCCTGTATACCGAATCTGCGATCGGCTGCTATAGCTACGCAGTTCTTACCCTTCATGGCTATCACGGCGCCACCGTTATACGCAAGGATGCTCTAAAAAAAAGAGAAAATATGTTAAAATACAGCATATATTCTTTAAATTCTTTAAAGTGATATCTCATTTTAAAGAGTAAAGATTGAGCCAGTTTTGAAAAAAAATAGCTTAATCTTTAAGAGTCAAATTTCATTTCTTCAGAGATTCATTCTATAAATTTTAGAGAGTACACGAGAGAACTCTTCATATAGTATAAATCTCCAAGGTTCTAAAGACGTCCAGAAGATGCTCTATATCCTAAAAACATCCTCAGAACATTCTTAAGCTAAGGCTGACATTATATTCGTTGCATGATAAATTTTTCAAGCCTATTGAGTGACTCTCTAAATTCTTGGAATCTTAATTTTCAATCTTTAAGATTTCATTCTTCAGAGTAAAATTTTCACTTAAAAATTTTAGAAAGCAGGATAGAAGGATAAAGATGGACTAGAATAAAGAGATAAGATAGAGAAATACAAGAACTTCTGTGTTCCGCAATTAATTAACATGCTTGAAAAATTTGTTGTACAACGTATGTAATATTAACCTTAAAGTATGCTGAGTGGGATGGAGTGTGGAAATTATAATTTATCATAAAAGTACGTTGTCATTGGTATATTGACAGCAACGTAACCTCTAATTGTAGATAAACGTCGATTATTCTCGTACTACTCTTAAACTCGTAGTTGCGATTACTATCTAGTAGGAAGAAATCCTACTAGGAGACAATGCGACAAAGTACAAAGAATACTTTTTAATAAATAACCACTTACCATCTTTTCGTGCAAATACTTAACACTTCAAAATGCAAAACGTCAACCGGACAGTCGGCCAGGACGCGTCGAAGTGCGAGTCACGACCACGAGCTATGAACGACATAGAAGCGTGAACGTAGTTGCGAGATTCGCGAGCTAGATACGAAAAAGTCCAATTAAATAAAAGTAGGGAGAGGAAGCAATGTAACGAGTTTCACGTACAAATTTGTAATGTTTCATGCAATCATGTGATTTTTTAATCAACGTGTAATCGTTTTACGAAAAAATTCATACATAAAAATCGAAATAAGCAGGAAATAAAAAGCTCGAAATTGTTAACGTTTATTTATAATAGAAAATGGTAAATTTGATTAGAAGCACTATGTTTTTGTACTAATTGTTAATTAATAGACAGGGATATATATGATCAGATATTCTCTGAATGGAATAAAAGAAAAATCTGATATAGAAATGAAAGAGGATAATGCACATCTTTCTTTCTAAAAGCAAGGAAAGCAATTATGATTCTCTTTTTTCCCCCTATCTCTTTGTAGAAATTTAATACTATAGTACTGATTAATTAATAACTTACTTTAAATAATAATTACAGTACTGATGTTAACAGTATAATTAAATTAAATAAGTGATTAATTAACCAGTAGCTAACAGCTAACATACTAAAAATAAGAGAATGACTTTCCAATACTATTATTAATTGTTATAACGGTTATAGTTAACTATTAATAATCAAAATAAATATGCATGATTAATTGGTGGCCACCAATATTAGATCAAATTCACTATTGATGTTGATCAACAAAATTATAAAATAAAAATAATACGTGTTGTAATGGCTCAATAATAATAAATAAACATTAATAATAATAAGAGCTACGAATCAGATTTCAATATATTTAAATATATTTTTAAACAGACGTTTTGATCTTATCGCGTCAGGACAATATAGAAAATTAATTTTTTATATTGTATACACTGAAAATGACCTATAATAATAAGATCGAGATGTCTGTTTAAAAATATAAATATATTGAAATCTGGCTCGTAGCTCTTATTGTTATTAAAATGATAAGAGTTCTAATAATTGCTCACTTTTGTAATTTTCACCTCATTTCAAGAAACACGATCGACTCTGACGTCTGACTTTCTATCAGCCTCTCTTGCTAGTAGTGCTGTTTTCGCGCTTGTATTCTACCTATATAGATCCGTGGCCACGTGATTTACATATCGCTTCGTCAATGGCACGACGTCAGACCGAGACGTGCGGGTGCCACACGGCACACATAGGACGGCGAATGAAAATCGTGCGTTGCGCGCTCGCGCACACGCATCAAGAGAGCATGGCCGCGCGATGTTATTGAGGATTGAGCGCGCGAGCGGGTACGGGAGTACACGCGAGGGTGCACTGCGAGTCCGAACGTTTCGAGCAAGACTGTGATCGCGGTTAGCGGACTCGGAGGGAGCGGACGACGATCATCGGTGACACGAGCGTGCGAGGGCGAAGTCGTAAGCGGAAGGAAAAAAAAGGGGACCAGAGCGGAGCTGCGGAGGCGACGGGAGCTGCCGACGGAAGATGTGCTCGGCGTATATTCGCTACGAGTGCCATGCAGCGTCTCGTCGCGGCAGCGAGTGACTCGGGTCCCCACCCCAAAAATAAACGGCCGGTACGTTTCGTCATCTCGTCGGCCGAAGAACAGGGGAAGAAGGAGCCACGCGAGCTCGTGTGTCTCGGTGGTTCGCGTTTTCCCTCCCGCGTTGAAATTCTTTGGTTAGGCCGACCCACGGCACGCGGGTCCATCTGTAGGAGCTGAGCGCCGAGCCAGTCAGCTGTGTAGTATCTGCCCCCCCCCAATGGCGGGTACACGCGTGTAGTCCCACGCGCGACTCGGTCCCCCGACTCGAATCCGCCACATTCCGAGCTCTCGGAGGAAAAAACGACACGTCCCCCTTTGTTCGAATCGATATTTCGTAACGCGTGCACTGAGCACACGCTCGTACACATCGCACGTCTCCGTCAGCGGCGGCGTGGCAGCCACGCACCATTACATTCGAGATTTTCACTTCGAACGGACGATTGTTTACGTACTTATAAACTCGTCAAGGTTGTTTAGAGTTTGAAGATTCTCGCGGAGAGTGTCACCTTGCCGCGTAAAGTTACGAGTAGCGGGGAGATTTAGAACGGCCGTGAGATGTGTGTATGTGTACGTATACGCGTGTGGTGTATTTTACTTTTACGTTATTTTTAAACCGACGATGTACAAAACACACGAACAAAGCCGTGTAAACTCAGTCTCTCTCTCTCTCTGCACTCCGAAAGATTATTCTTGGGATGTATTCCTCGATTGGGATTGCTTTTGTTTGAACATCAAGCGATTCATTGGTTCTTGTACAAGTCAAGCTTTTAACTACATTTGAATGTGTGTCACAAATCCTGTATGTAAATAATATAAGTGACTTGACTATTTTGCAGGTTTATGGTATGCAGTGAGTGTACTTCTCTGTGAAATTAACAAACTATTGTTATTGCGATCAAGTTATCAAACTTTTGTGGATCAGTGGAAAGGATGTCACTAAAACCTAAGAGAGTGGATTTTAATAAAACATGGCATGTACTGCAAGAGACTATCAAGGGAGTGATAACCTTAGCAAATATCCCACGTGCTATATGGAACGATAGATTTAGGTACAAAATCTGACAATTATTTTATATCTCATTAATGTAGAAAAGTGTATATTTTAAGTGTATATTATGATTGCAGCGACGTTTATTCTTTATGCGTTGCGTATCCTGAACCACTAGCAGATCGTTTATATGATGAAACAAAGAGGTTTTTGGTTAACCATGTAGACCATTTGCTGGTACAAGTCAACTCGTATAATGACAAGTGGGAGCTGCTTCCAGCGTATTATCGCGCTTGGACAGAGTACTCGCAAGGCATTGATTATTTGCATAGCTTGTACTTATATCTTAATCAACAACACATCAAAAAGCAGAAGCTCTCTGAAGCAGAACTCATCTATGGCACGAGTTTGCACAATAGAGAAGAAGAGTGCCAAGAACAAATGGAGATTGGTGAACTTGGTTTGGACATTTGGAAGAAAAAGATGATAATACCACTTAAGAAAAAACTAGTTTCTCTTCTACTTACATGTATTGACGCTGATAGAGATTCGAAATTGCTTGCCCCGACCGATGTTATTTGTGGTGTCATAGAAAGTTTTGTTCGGGTAGAAGATCACAAGATGAAGGGAAAATTAAACGTAATTAATTACACAAATTTTTATTTTTATAAGCAGTTTTTTTTATTTTTAAGTTTCTATTAAATTAAATTATATTTTTTAGTTATATCAAGAAATTTTTGAGGAACCTTTTTTGGAAGCTAGTGGAGAATTTTATACAGCGGAGGCGTCATCGTTGTTGCAGCAATCAGATGTTACGCGTTATATAGAAAAAGTAACGTGGAGACTTGCTCAAGAGGAGGCACGCGCTTATAAATTCCTTCACAAGAGTTCTGTAGCAAAAGTACGTTATCGCGTTTTTCATCTATTTTAGAAGTAATTGTAGAATGGATATATATATAACAGCAATACTCTGTTGCAGGTCAGAGCATGTTGTGAAGATAAAATGGTAGCAGCACACGTAGATCTACTGCATTCAGAAGCAGAAATGATGATAAAGAATGAGAGCAGACGAGATTTGGCTCTTCTTTATCCATTATTGAGGTCTTTACCAGGAGGTTTAGATCCACTTGTGCAACATCTTACTCGCCATATTACACTACAAGGATTACAAGCAATTGGACCTTTGCAAGGAGAAAATGTGAATATAACAAAATATTTAAAAGTATAGAACTAAAATATATAGTACTAAAATATATAGATTTAGGTAATTTTATATAGAAAAAAAAACACGAATTTTCAATTTCAGGTATACATGCAGTTTGTGGAGAATATGTTAAATGTACATTCGAAATATTCTGAAATGATTAAGGAAGTGTTCAATTCAGATCAAAGTTTTGTAGGTGCTCTCGATAAAGCTTGCTCCGCCATCGTAAATTACAGGTCTGCTCCGAAGCAGCCAGTTCGAGCACCAGAATTGGTAAAATTCATTTAAAAATGATATTTTCAACTTAGGATACGGTTTCTATTAATAAGTTATATAATGCGTATCTTTTACTTAGCTGGCGAGGTATTGTGACATACTATTAAAAAAGTCTCCCAGAGCTGCCTCCGAAAGCGAAATCGAGGACAAACTGAAACGCTCCATTACAGTGTTCAAGTACGTGGATGATAAGGATGTGTTTCAAAAATTCTATTCGCGCATGTTGGCGAAGCGATTAATACATCAGCAGTCGCAATCGATGGATGCCGAGGAGATGATGATCGATGACCTGAAACGTGCGTGTGGTTACGAGTTTACGAATAAACTTCATCGCATGTTCACGGACATGTCCGTCTCAGCGGATCTCAACGCGAAGTTTATCGCGTCCTTACGGGAAGGTGACGGAGAGAATCAATTGGGTACCGGTTTCACAGTTAAAGTATTGCAAGCCGGTGCTTGGCCACTTGGTCTACCACCTTCACCCGGCCCCTTCCACGTTCCACAGCAACTGGAGAAATCCGTCCAGGCTTTCGAGGCGTTCTATCACATGCAGTTTAGCGGTCGGAAGCTTACGTGGCTGCACCATCTGAGTCAAGGCGAGCTCAAATTTAATTATTTGAAGAAACCGTATTTGGTCACTGTGCAAACGTATCAAATGGCGTTGCTGTTGCTTTTCGAGCATTGTGATACGATACCATGTAAAGAAGCGGCTGCCTCGTTACGTCTATCGCATGACCAGCTAATGAAGCATGCCGCTAGTCTTGTGGATTGTAAGATCCTCACTAAGTCCAACGACGGCGAATTGGAGGAGGATACTATTCTCACGCTCAATTTTAGTTACTCCAACAAGAGAACCAAGTTTCGCGTGACAGGAGTGTTACAGCGAGACGCGCCACAGGATGCGGAGGCCACACATCGCAGTGTAGACGAAGACAGGAAGATGTTCTTGCAGGCGGCTATAGTTCGTATCATGAAGAGTCGCAAGCTATTAAAACACAATCAACTCATACAGGAGGTGAGTTGCGAGTTTCGAAAGTGTAATGCAAGCGCACATTAATTGCCTCGTATAGCGATATTTAAAATAATTCTATTGTTTCAGGTGTTGAGTCAATCAAAAGTTACTTTCGCACCTTCTATCGGAATGATTAAAAAGTGTATTGAAACTCTGATAGATAAACAGTATATCGAACGTACGCCAAATAGCGCGGACGAGTACTCGTACATTGCGTAACCTTTTAACGTCTGTCACTAATTTATTTCACTCGAGATGCATCCCAAACAGCGTTCTGTTAAAGTTAATAGATCTTTCACTGACAAGGCTATATAATAAAAATTTTATTCATTGTTCGACTAATTACCTTCGATGTTTAAATTTTCGAAGATAATTAGGCGTAGAAAAAGAGAAAAACATTATTGAAAAAAAGAAATGAGCTCTCAAATGATTTGAAAGATCGGGAAAAGCATCTTAGCTCGCTTATTCGCTCTTAGGATCAATTAATTAATAAATACTTTAATTAATTTACTGACTTGTAACATATGCACACTGAATAAAAAGTTGACGTTACTATTTTATATTGGAGTAACACGTCTCGTAAAGAGTAATTTTGTACATAATATAAATATTTATTACTTTTCCTTTAATAGAATCTACTTGTCTGAAAGAAACAGATACTCCATTATATATACAGCTTTTCTCTTACAAAATATATATACGACCATCTTTATGAATATGATCGCGACTTTTTTCATCGACGAATGATAGGTCGTCAATATATAATAAGGCCACGAATAGTCATTCTTTAAATAATGTATGCAATTATTAATATAAAATTCTAATTTCGTCATAAAAACTTCATTCGTTATTCGACAAGCAGTAGCCTTCTTACGTTTTACGCGCGCAATATATATTCTCTATGTTAAAATTATTATATTGCAAGTTATTTCCGTTATAATACTAATCGCGTAACTTCTCAGAAAGCATGGAACGTTATCCAAATTATAAACAATATATTATATATACGTATATTCTTAATATTATTAGGAACGTGGAGGCTTTAATTGTAACAATTCAGGATCGAGCAGTGGATTATTGTCAGCTTCTGTTTCCGTTGGTTTGTTCATGTTGTTCACAATAAGAGACGATGCGCTGTCCGTA